TTGTTACCCAGGCTGGAGTGCAATGGCGCGATCTCGGCTCACCGCAACCTCCGCCTCCTGGGTTCAGGCAATTCTCCTGCCTCAGCCTCCTGAGTAGCTGGGATTATAGGCACGTGCCACCACGCCCAGCTAATTTTTTGTATTTTTAGTAGAGACGGGGTTTTACCATGTTGACCAGGTTGGTCTCGATCTCTCGACCTTGTGATCCATCTGCCTCAGCCTCCCAAAGTGCTGGGATTACAGGCTTGAGCCACCGCGCCTGGCCAGGGATCTTTATCTCTTTTGCTTAATAAGCTGTACAAGAAAAGGACAAAACTTAGTGATGCTAGATAATGCTGAAGAGTATAAAGAATCTGCTGGGGCAAAGTCCTATGAAACAATTGAAATGATCATTGATAAGCTTAAAGGTTTAGGGAGAGGAAGGTTATAAACACAAGGCAAGATAGGTAAAAAAAATAAAATAAAATAAAGGTGAGATAGCAGTACTTATTTACAGGTCATTGAGTCTAGTCAATTACATTATAAGGAATAAGTTAGGAGTAAATAGTCTAAAGCTAATTTATAGAGAACTGCCTACCAGACTGCCTACCAGACTGAGGAGTATGAATTCCCCCTCTGGTATGGGGAAACTAATTTGGTCAGTGGGTAAGCAAAGATACTTCCTCTTTTCATGTTGCAGAAGTTGGTCCTGCATTTAAACTTAATGTATTTTTTGTAGGGTAGTTTCCTCATTTAGCAGTTGACATATCTCTCTCAACACTGGAAAGTATCTATATAATAGCTTATAGGTAGAAACAGGCACCCTAATTCACACATTCTGTGCTCTAGCTGTTCTTTGTAAACACTAAGTGAATGCTTACTTTCATCCCTTTGGTCTGTTTGTCAGAAATCCTTTTCTGTTGCCATGCTTCCAGCTCCTATCCATCTTTCAGGTTTAGCTTAAATTCCACCTCATCTAAAAAAAGCTTGACCTTATTAGACTACAGTGAAGTAGTTTTCCAAAGTCTGGATGTCATAGATCTATTCTCGTAATTCCTCATTTTATATACATATCTTCTATGTCTTCTAGACTGTAAATGATAATCTAACCTGATGTTGAATATGGCATAAATACATAGGATTTTTCTTCTTTTTCAATACAAAATTATTTTTAAGATGGTTATTTTGTGAGGCTAAAGTAGGGGAAGGAATGGGTAGAAGAAGGAACAATAAGATAGTAAAATGATCTTAAAGGCAGAATTTAGAAAGGAAATGAGAGAGAGTATCAGTTGGAGAAAGAAAAAGGTGAGAAATAAGGAATTTCTTATTCAGATTATCTTCTGTTATATCCTATTTGAATTGCTGAATATCATAGCCATTTTATGTTTTTCTCTCCAGGGACTCTAGAGGACTCACTTGGGTTATTAAAATTGTTGATGATAAAATTTGAGAGCCTACTATAATCCTATTTGTCATTAAAACTTAAGTACTTTTCTCAAGGATTTCCTAGTTACTATATAGTTACTGAAAGCTGTAGTTTTTAGCTTTTGAATTTTAATAGAAAAATACATTATTGTGACGAATTACCAAAAAGAATTAATTTAGGGAGAGAAAAAGGGGGTTAAGGCATGAAAGATCTTTAGAGTAATTTCTGCCTTGTAGAAAGTTTGAGGAGAATATTTGAGTATGTTTGTTCACCAGACTGTTGAAGCTAATTCATTCTCAGATCGAAGTCTGAGCTTTCAAATGCTGAGAAAGGTAGTAATTTGTTTTTATCAGTTCTGACAGCTTATTTTGCGAGTTTATTCATTAGGGCTGGCTTAAATTCTTTCTCCTGTAGATAAAAATTAGTTTCTTGTTTAAAAGCAAGTAAACATTTACCTTTTTTGCTAGCTATGGCAATAACGTGGCCATTTTAATTTTTTTGCACTATGTGCCATAAGCTAAAAAAGTGTATATTTTACATTATTTACATAGCTTTTAGGCAAAGCAAATACCATTTACTGGTGTGATAAATACATAGAAAGCTTATTCTGCAGTTTTTTAAAGTGACAAACTACCATTATCTGGACCAACCATTTGCTGTAAATAATTGATATGTTATTATCCACTGGTTTTTTGACAGCTGATTCAGTTTTTCTTTAAATATTAGGTGGTGAGTATTGTTAAACTGTGTTTAATGGTATTAGATCAGGATAAGACCTAGAAAACTTGTTTGTACCTTATAAAGGTAATAAGCTAGCAAGTTAGAAAGCCAGTATAATATAGTAGTAGTTTGGATTCAGAAAAACAGAGATCTAAATTTATCTTTGCCACTGTGTGACCTTGGAAAGCTTCTTAACTGCTGAACCTCTGTTTCCTAATCTGTGAAAGGGGATAGAGGTACTCATTTTTTTCAACAAATAAAAAATTTGTTGATCTTCTACTGTGTGCCAGAAATCGTAATATATTTTGGTACTATATATTATAGTACCTCTGTCATAAGATCCTTGGAGGATTGTTAGAATGCATGTGAAACACTTAGCACAGTGTGTAGAACATAAGTAAGTGATCAATATATTTTAGCTATTGTTATGAAAACATCTCAAATGCAATTTTTTTGGGGGTAGAGGGGAGACAGAGTCTTGCTCTGTCACCCAGGCTGGAGTTCAGTGGTGTGATCTTGGCTCACTGCAACCTCCACCTCCAGTGTTCAAGCCATTCTCCTACCTCAGCCTCCTGAGTAGCTGGGAGGCTGTTGAAGTAGCTGGGAGGCCCCCCACAACACCTGCCTAATTTTTGTATTTTTAGTAGAGTCAGGGTTTCACTATCTTGGCTAGGCTGGTCTCGCACTCCTGACCTCAAGTGATCTGCTTGCCTCAGCCTCCCAAAGTGCTGGGATTACAGGTGTGAGCCACCACACCAGCTTCAAATGCATTTTTAAAAGTTATGTAAGAGTAAAAATAGTTGCATGGAATAATTATACATCCAGGATATGTCATTAAATACTTTAATGATAAAGCTATGTGTTAGTTTTTAAAAAAACATTTGTGTGACATTCATTGTTTAAAAGTTTGATTAATTGGTTAATCACCAAGCATAGTGGCTCACACCTGTAATCCCAGCACTTTGGGAGACCGAGGTGGGCGAATCACTAGGTCAGAAGATGGAGACTATCCTGGCTAACATGGTGAAACCCTGTTTCTACTAAAAATATAAAAATTAGCTGGGTGTGGAGGCATGTACCTGTAGTCCTAGCTACTTGGGAGGCTGAGGCAGGAGAATCGCTTGAACCTATGTGCCTGTAGTCCTAGCTACTTGGGAAGCAGAGGTTGCAGTGAGCCAAGATCGCACCACTGTATTCCAACCTGAGTGATGGAGCTATGATTTGTAGAGTTAAATGTATACAGCCTTGCCTTGTCCCTCTGTGTGTGTTAAGAGATTGGTTCCAGGACCCCCACAGCTCAAGTCTTTTATGTAAAATGGCTTGGCATTTGCCTGTAGCCTACTTACATCCTCTCGTATGTTTTAAATCATCTCTAGATTACTTACAATACCAAATATAATGTAAATACTATGTAAATAGTTCTTACACTGTCCTTTTATTGTATGCTTATTTTTTTTCTGAAATTTTTTATCTGTTTATTTGAATCGGTGGTTGCAAAGGACTGACTACGTTAGGTAAAAACTAGATCACGGCCGGGCGCAGTGACTCAAGCCTGTAATCCCAGCACTTTGGGAGGCCGAGGCAGGTGGATCACAAGGTCAAGAGATCGAGACCATCCTGGTCAACACGATGAAACCCCCCCTCTACTAAAAATACAGAAAATTAGCTGGGCATGGTGGCGCGTGCCTGTAATCCCAGCTACTCAGGAGGCTGAGGCAGGAGAATTGACTGAACCCAGGAGGCGGAGGTTGTGGTGAGCCGAGATCGCGCCATTGCACTCCAGCCTGGGTACAAGAGTGAAACTCCGTCTCAAAAAAAAAAAAAAACCTAGATCACTTTAGAAATAATAACTACAACTACTGTCAGTTGAGTCTTACTCTCTGCCAGGCTTATTCTAAAGATATTGAATGTATTGAGTCAACTGATCCTCACAACAACCCTATGAGGGAGACACTATTATCCCTTTCTCAAATGAGGAAACTGGATCACAGAAAGGTTAATTAATTTACCCAAGGTTATACAACTATAGTATTACAGCCAGGATTCAAGAACTTGTGCACTTGCTCTTAACTACTGTCCAGTAGTTAATTGCTGTCTCTCCCAGATTTCATAATCAGGTTAACTCTTTGAATAAAAGGTAAATATAGTAATCATATTTGGGAGAAAACTCCCAAAACAACTAAACAGAATATTGAGTCTTAGCACTTTTTTAAAAATTTGAGACAGAGTCTTGCTCTGTTATCCAGGCTGGAGTGCAGTGGCACTTTCTTGGCTCACTGCAGCCTCCAACTCCCTGGTTCAAGTGATTCTTCCGCCTCAGCCTCCCCAGTAGCTGGGATTACAGGCACATGCCACCACACCCAGCTAATTTTTTTGTATTTTTAGTAGAGACGGGGTTTCACCATGTTGGCTGGTATGGTCTCGATCTCCGATCTCCTAACCTCGTGATCCGCCTGCCTCGGCCTCACAAAGTGCTGGGATTGCAGGTGTGAGCCACCGTGCCTGGTCAGAATATTAAGTCTTATTGGAACATATGTTGAGCTCTATAATTTGTATTGGGTGATTGTACTGGACTATATAGGAAGGCATCACCATAATGGATAGCTAGGTATTAGCACAGCTAGAGTTGATGATCAGGGTTTCAAAACCTAGGATTAAAAAATATCTATGTGTTAGTGATTTTTTTAAACTTGTTTTTCAGTGTGGTTTGTAGTGTTACTGATTTGATTTTGGCAAATCAGCATTTATTATGACTAGCCTTGAGTGTATAAGCTCAGCTATAGTCTGGTTCAGTGGTTATTTAATAATGGATTTAGCTAAAATCCATTAGATTGTTCATACAAGGATTAATTTTGTATTCTTTCTACCTCTTTAGTAAAATAAAACAGGGTCTGTTACCTAGCTTGGAAGATTTGCTGTTCTATACAATTGCGGAAGGACAAGAGAAAATACCTGTTCATAAATTTATTACAGTAAGTTTTTATATTTTTATATCTTAAATTAAAAAATAGTAATACTTAATAAATAAATATATATAGTATTGTTGAAATACAGTCTTAAAGGTCATCTGACATGTAGATTCTGACTGATACTATTTCTCTTATTATGTTTTCAAATTTTTATCATGCTCATTTCAAGGTAATCAATGAAAGAAAAAGAAACAATGAGAAACTTGTCCAGAAAGTGGGTAATAGTGACACTAAGATGCCATATTCATGTTCAGGTGTTGGGTAGAAGTTTTTATATACAGGAATAAAATCTTGTAGTTGGAATAAGCATATACATTATTTGCACCATATATTTACAAACTCTTATTTTTTTAAAAACAGGCACTCAAATCTACAGGATTGCGAACGTCTGATCCCAGGTTGAAAGAGTGTATGGATATGTTAAGATTAACTCTTCAAACAACATCAGATGGTGTCATGCTAGACAAAGATCTTTTTAAAAAGTAAAAGTTTCTGCCAAACCTTTAATGGTGATTTGCTATGCTATATGGTGATTCTGCTTTTTAAAAAAAAAAAAAAAAATTCTATCTTTGAAGGCCACTGCTTCCTGTGTAATGGAAAAAGGAGATTTATAAACATCATTTGTTTGAAGAACTTGGTACACATTAGGTTCTATAATACATCGGGCTAAGAGTATACTTTCTTTAAATCTGTTCTAAGGAAATTTAGACACTAGTGTTTCCAGTTTACAGTCTCTGGAGATTGCATTCAGTTTGAGTAGAGTACATCTTTCGTCCTGTCATTGCTTATATTGATCCCCAATTCATCTGCATGACTTGCAGGCTTTCTCAGCATGGTCTCTAGTTCTTTTCCACAAGGTGATTTAGGTGACATCATAAAATTGAGAGGGCTTCAGACAAACCTGTGTTCCTCACATTGCATATCTGCATTGTCTGCTCCTCTCCTCTCTTCAGACGTATTAATACGTAGGCTTTTGGCTATTTTCATTTTCCTCAAAACAGTAAAGAACTAAAGGCAACTTTGGAGATTAAAGCCTTGATTTGATTGAATGAGAATTTTTACTTTGATGTTCCTTTATTTGCATATATTTATTATTTATCTTTATTAATGTGTTTCTATTAGTTTGATTACTTTTTAAATTTTTTAAAATTTTTTATTTATTTATTTATTTTAGTTTGATTACTTAAAGATTTAATGGACATGTGTGTAATGGATCCCAAAGAATCAAATAGTATTTTGAACTACTACTATTTAAGTGGAAACTAGTATAAAACTGTAAATACCGCTATAGGACATTGGCTTTTCCCAGACGTGGATCCATAAAATTTCTGCCATCTACTTTGAAAGTTTGTTATGTGTGGATGTATTTACTTTTATTTTATTTTGGGGGTTGGGTGATTTGTTCTAGATATCGTCCGGACTATTAAATCATCTGAAGGTATATGTATTTAACTGAGGTTCTCTGAAGTTTCCTGGCATGCTCTGAAGCACTGCTGACAGCTTGGGATTCTTACCTTTTCACCAGGAGATTATTAGTTCTGTTAACTTAGCTGACCTTCAAGTGTAGACTTTAGGTCCATGTTGCAATTGGTGTTAGGAATTTTAACTCTCCAGAACCTGTTTTTTTTAGGAGACAGAAAAACATCATTTCTAAATTTATTTGTGTCTTTGCAATAAGGATTATTTTTCATGTTCATGAACCATCTGCAAAATATTCTGATTAAAGTGCTTTCTACAGGCATTATTTTATTGTATCTGTGAATGAAGTTGTTAGAGTAATGGTAGGTAGATCTGTTGATAATCAGTAGGGGAACCGTTTGGGAATTTTAAGTGGAAGCATTATTTTATACACTTTAATACTTGAAAAAGTATTTGTGCTTTATAAACATGTTGCTATGTTTAAATATGAAATTTAAAACAATTTAAATCCTCTGATTATTAAGGCAGGGAACCATAAGCGTTACGTTTTCTACCTACAATTATATTAAGAGATAGTAATTACCACTGTTTTAAACACGAATCCAATTTTTAAAAAATCTATACTTGTAATACAGGCAGTTTCCAACTTGACAAATGTTTTATGGTCTATATGAGCAACCAGTAGAAAAGTACAGGTCTATAGGCATAATTATTTCTCTTTTTAGTTTTAGAATGAGGTGGTTCAAAACCTCCAACTGTTAACCTCTTAATAGTTTTCAATCACCTGGAAAGGTGATTACTTCACAGATGTTCTTTTCTCTGTTTTCAGAAGTTATCTAATTAGTGTTGCCAGAAATAAACTTCTCCCTTCCATGAGGCTGGGGAGGAAATTTTATAATGTGGGATTCATTTTTCTCCAGAGAAATAATTTATAAAGGTGTGTAGGTTTGGTTGAAGCAATGTGTTAGTATTTTACCTAAAATACATTGTAGATTAATATTTCTAGACTTTAATGATAATCTGAGAAACAACTCTTTTTTTTGAGACGGAGTTTCGCTCTTGTTACCCAGGCTGGAGTGCAATGGCACGATCTCGGCTCACCGCAACCTCCACCTCCTGGATTCAGGCAATTCTTCCTGTCTCAGCCTCCTGAGTAGCTGGGATTACAGGCATGCACCACCATGCCCAGCTAATTTTTTGTATTTTTAGTAGAAACGGGGTTTCACCTTGTTGACCAAGGTTGATCTCGATCTCTTGACCTTGTGATCCACCCGCCTCGGCCTCCCAAAGTGCTGGGATTACAGGCTTGAGCCACCGCGCCCGGCGAGAAACAACTCTTATGTGTGACTTTTGTTTAAACTTGAGAAAATATGTTCTAAGCATACTCTTTGGAGTATAACCTATTTGAAAGTTGGAGACTGCCTGTACCCAGCTTGATAGTCAATTGTTTTTAATGTTAGTAATTCTTAAAATGAATAGAAGTAAGAGTATTTGTGTTGAAAACTAATCCTTTATTTATTCATGCATTTTTAACCTTATAAGTATTAGAACTGTTTCTTTGTATGATCATAATTTTTTTGACCTTTTTGTTTTGGAAGAAAGTGGATGGTAGCCTTTCATTTGTATGTTTGATTTTCTTAAAATTTTCATATTTATTATGTTATTTTACTAATGAAAAATTATTTGTGAGAAATGTTTTATAAACTATTATGCATACTTTTTTTTTGTTTGTTTATTTGTTTTTGCGATGGAGTCTCGCCCTTTCACCCATGCTGGAGTGCAATGGTGTGATCTTGGCTCACTGCAACCTCTACCTCCTGGGTTCAAATGATTCTCCTCTCTCAGCCTCCCGAGTAGCTGGGATTACAGGTGGCCACTGCCACCTCCAGCTAATTTCTGTATTTTTTTTTTTTTTTTTTTTTTTTTGAGACAGAGTTTCGCCCTTGTTACCCAGGCTGGAGTGCAATGGCGTGATCTCGGCTCACCGCAACCTCCGCCTCCTGGGCTCAGGCAATTCTCCTGCCTCAGCCTCCTGAGTAGCTGGGATTACAGGCACGTGCCACCATGCCCAGCTAATTTTTTGCACTTTTAGTAGAGACGGGGTTTCACCATGTTGACCAGGATGGTCTCGATCTCTCGACCTTGTGATCCACCCGCCTCGGCCTCCCAAAGTGCTGGGATTACAGGCTTGAGCCACCGCACCCGGCTAATTTTTGTATTTTTAGTAGAGATGGAGTTTCACCATGTTGGCCAGGCTGGTCCTGAACTCCTGACCTCGTGATCTGCCCACCTTTGACTCCCAAAGTACTGGGATTACTGGTGTGAGCCACTGTGCCCAGCCATGCATTAGTGTTTAGTAATAAACACTTAAGGAAAGAAAATGATTATTTCCAGCTTACAGATAAGAAAACTGAACAAAGGACAGAGAAAGATATAACTTGCTGAAAAGCATAAGCACCTCCTTTTCAGAGTTCATTTTTTATATGACTTCTCATTTCCTATTAGAATCATGGCATCTATATTAAAATAACTCTTGATACTTGCAAGTTGTTTTAGAAGCTATGTGAAACATTAGAAATATTAAAACAATGGTAATATTTTGAGGTTAACATTGAAACTATCTAAAAATGATTAAGGTTTATTGAGTAAATATTTCTTAGCTCTAGGATGTCAATATTGTATAAGTTATGGAAATTGGGACTATACTTTTTTAATGTTGTAATAGGGTGATCCTTATGAGTGAAACAGTAGTCATTTCTATTAGGATTTTATTTTTAAACTACATGTTAATTTTATATTGAACAAGTGAGTATATATTTTTCTGAATTTTTGTTAATAGTTAAAATGTGAAATTTGGTTTTTAACTTTAATTTGGTTTTATGGAGAACAACTTGAATAAAAATATTGAGATTTAAAAATTTCTCATTTACCACAGACTAAACAAGCAATACTGAGAGTATCTACTTTTTTATATCTTCATTTATGATTAGTACAAGTTACTAAGACTCTTAGAGTCTCATTTTCTTACCTGTAAAGTGGGGAAATCTTTAGAGGTGATGTTTTGAGGATTAAACAAGATAGCTATTACTACTGAAACATAGTAGTGACTGGAAAAAAAATGCCAATGTGTTTTTTTTTTCTCTTCTACAAAGAAGCTGCTAATATAGTATCACATCACTAACTGGTGAGGAATCCAGGTACATCATCAGTAAATTCCTATAGTAATGGTTTGACTTTTTTTTTGAGAGGGAGTCTCACACTGTCGTCCAGTCTGGAGTACAGTGGTGCTATCTTGGCTCACTGCAACCTCTGCCTCCCAGGTTCAAGCGATTTTCCTGCCTCAGCCTCCCTAGTAGCAGAGACAAGGTTTCACCATGTTGGCCAGGCTGGTCTTGAACTCCTGACCTCAGATGATCTATCCTCCTTGGCCTCCCAAAACGCTGAGATTATAGGCATGAGCCACCACGCCCAGCCTGGTTTGACTTTAATACTTTGGCTATCAGCATTTGATTTTTTTGTCTGTTGAGGGCTTTTGAGATTTGTTGTAGTTGATATTATGGCTTAATACCTGTGTTTAGCAAGTCTTCCTTTATTAATTAAATATTCTATTACTGAGTTATAGAGGCTTAAGAAGCTCAGAATATATGACTGGTTGTAATCTTATTTGCAAAACTTTTTAAAGGCTGCATTAATATACTGATTTTCTGACTTAAATTCCTTTTAAGAAAAAGCAGAATAGTGGTTCAATTTATTAGAGAAGGTCATGCCCTCTCATCCACTTGGTTTACTATGTTTTTTAAGTACTTGTTCACAGTGAAGCCTTTTTATTCTGCATTGTATTTACATATTTTATATTAAATGGAATATTGTAACATGACGTTTTTGGTGACTAAAATTAATTATTACACTACTTCAAAAGAAATTTTATTTCAAAGTATACATTATTTTTACAAGCATTTTAGCAGACATTTCATTTAAGAGGTAAATTAATCTAACTAAACAAAGTTGATATAATTTAGGAAAACATGTTACAATGCAAAATGTATAATTTTTAAACAAAATGCTAGTAATAGCTATATAAGAACTAAGAGATGTATTTCTGAGATTACTTGATAAATAAACAAGATCTCAACCATGGGAGGCAGTTTGAATTTTTTAACCAGATGTCATCATGCTGAATGTTTATCAACTCTGAGTAAGAAACTTGTTTCAGATGGTCTTAATACTTAAACCTGGTGGAATGCTTTTCCATTTTAATTTTTGACACAATTTTAGGCACATCCAGATTATTTCTCCTACGTGTTCAACAGCTTACAATCAACTACTTGAAAGACTGCTAGAAGGAAAGAAAATAATATACAAAGTATAATTTGTGGAATTTAGTTGTATAAAATGATAAATATGTCTATTATTTAAACAGTGTCTGAATTATTGCCATTGTTACCAAGTTCTAATATTTGAAAGGTACCCAGTTTATTAATTATTTTTCTTACATTCCACAGATGTGTTCAGAGCAACATTGTTTTGTTGACACAAGCCTTTAGAAGAAAGTTTGTCATTCCTGACTTTATGTCTTTTACCTCACACATTGATGAGTTATATGAAAGTGCTAAAAAGCAGTCTGGAGGAAAGGTAATGCTTTTGATATACATATTTTCATATCCCAATCACTTAATAAATTCAGCTCATTTTGAGGTCTAGAGAGTAAATTGTGTAGTTGTGTTTTGGTAAAGAAAATACTTTAGCTTTGTTTAAGAAATTTAAGTTAAGTGAAGCCCCTGGATTTAGTGTTTTTAAAATATTTTAAATATTTAACTTTGTTATTCTGGCTAAAGAGAAATCTAAGGATAAGAATATTTTCATTTTTAGATGATGGTGTATTTAAATTTTTTTTTTTTTTTTTTTTTGAGATGGAGTTTCACTCTTGTTACCCAGGCTGGAGTGCAATAGCGCGATCTCAGCTCACCGCAACCTCCCCCTCCTGGGTTCAGGCAATTCTCCTGCCTCAGCCTCCTGAGTAGCTGGGATTACAGGCATGCGCCACCATGCCCAGCTAATTTTTTGTATTTTTAGTAGAGACAGGGTTTCACCATGTTGACCAGGATGGTCTCGATCTCTTGACCTCGTGATCCCGTTGCCTCGGCCTCCCCAAGTGCTGGGATTACAGGCGTGAGCCACCGTGCCCGGCTTCATTTTCTTTTGTTTTAACTTTGCGTAGCCTTAGTATAATATGATTGGCCCTTGAACAAAGCAGGGGTTATGGCCCACACAAAAATCTGAGTATAACTTCTGACTGCCTTAAAACTTAACTACTTATAACTACTGTTATAAGCCTTACCAATAACAGAAATAGTCTATTACCTCATATTTTGTATATTTATTATATACTGTATTCTTATAATAAAGTAAGAGGATAGAAAATGGTATTGAGAAGATCATAAGGAAAATATATTTACTATTAAGTGGAAGTGGATCGCCATGAAAGCTTTCATTGTCATCATCTTCATGTTTAAACTGAAGAAGAGGAGGAGGGATTGGTCTTGTGTCTTGGGGGTGGCAGAGAAAGAAAAAATCTGCATATAAGCGTACTCTTTGAGGCTTAAATCCATGTTGTTCAAGATTCAACTGTATAACAACTTCAGTGTAAATACTTATTACTTATTTTTAGATACTTGATTCCTAATTTCTTTTCTTTTTTTTTTTTTTTTGAGACGGAGTTTCACTCTTGTTACCCAGGCTGGAGTGCAATGACACGATCTCGGCTCACCGCAACCTCCGCCTCCTGGGTTCAGGCAATTCTCCTGTCTCAGCCTCCTGAGTAGCTGGGATTACAGGCACGAGCCACCATGCCCAGCTAATTTTTTGTATTTTTAGTAGAGACGGGGTTTCACCTTGTTGACCAAGATGGTCTCGATCTCTTGACCTTGTGATCCACCCGCCTTGGCCTCCCAAAGTGCTGGGATTACAGGCTTGAGCCACCGCGCCCGGCTTGATTCCTAATTTCTTAGTGAAATCCTATAGCACCCATGACCCTGATTAAATAAATGTTTTACTTTTTTCCTGCTTAAAAAAACAAAAAAAAAATTCAAGTCCAAGTTCCTCTACTAGACTCTCCTGCTAAACATAGGAAAGAATGCATTAGAAAGAAAGAATGCACTGGAAAACAAGAAATTAATAGAGACTGAAAGAAGTCACTTCAGATCTCACCCGTAATTCTCAAGTCTGTTTTGTCTTTAGTTTTCATGAACATTGTTATAGAAGATAGACTACAAAACCACTGAGTGTTCTAAAATAACCAGTCATTAGGAGAAGGCAAAATGAGATAAGAAATTTGTTGGTGGAAGAAAATATATTATTTGCCTATATTGTATCCATTCATTTCTTTCCACTCTTTTGGATAGGTTGCAGATTATATTCCTCAACTGGCCAAATTCAGTCCTGATTTGTGGGGTGTGTCTGTTTGTACAGTAGATGGACAGAGGTAAGTTTATTTCAAATTCATGAACACCAACTCTAAGCCTTAAATTTTGTATAATGGTTAGAATGACATGGAGAAGATCATCTTTTATGATGGAAATTAGTCCTAACAGGACATAATTTCAAAAGGTAAATAAATTTAGATTTTAATATAATTTTGAAATAACTGAAAGTTACATTATATTAAGTTTTATGAGACATCTATTTTATTCACTGTTGTAGTCTTGTTTTTTGAGTATTATTCAATACCTGCAGTTAACCAATTTGTTTAGGAAAAGCAGACTTGTCAAAACATGACACTATTCTCTAACGAACTGACCACTAATAAAATTAAGTCCCGTTTCTCAGCTTAACATTGGTAACCCATCTATTGTCTTTGTTCCTCATGTTTCTGTTATAATTAGCATGAGAATTAAGATAGTGCAGCATAACATATCCCATTATTCATCGATTCATTTGCAAAGTGAAAAGTCAGTTGCAAAACATGTAGGATTTCATGAAGTCCATGAAAGCAGTATTTGGAAATTGCTTACATTGGAGGCACAGCTGCTGACAGTAGAGGAACTTGCAGAATTATAAAAAGGATAGTGATGTGAGGGCACTTTAAAGAGAATGATTTGATTTAAAAATCAAAGAATTAAGAGAGGCCCTTGGAAAATGGTAAAGTTCTAGAATATTTTTTCAAGAATGATTCTTTTCATTGTGCTGGGTATTAGGCATAAAGATTATTATCATCTTGTAACTGATTTTATCGGAAAATTATGCTTTTTTCATTCATTTCAAGACTTAGCTCAGAGATGTATTCTTTTGGTTTTTGTTTTTTTTATTAAAGTATTTCTTTTTTATTAAAATATAACTTACCTAAGATGTATAACTGTAAGTGAATACAGCTTGAAAAGTTTATATGAGAGTTGTAATTTTACCTAAATTTTGTTAAAACTACTAAAAGAATTTAACTTAGTAATTTTAGATTTTACTCTTTTTTTCTTTCTTTTATGAAAATTTGAACTTTTATGTTACCCAGGCTGGTTTTGAACTCCCGGCCTCAAGCAGTCTTCCTGCCTTGGCCTCCCAAAGTGCTGGGATTATAGGCATGAGCCACTGCCCCCAGCCAAAAATTTGTGACTCTTAAGGACCTTCATTTTAGGTGATTTTAATTAAAATTTTTTTTTTTTTTTTTTTTTTTTGAGATGGAGTTTCACTCTTGTTATCCAGGCTGGAGTGCAATGGCGCAATCTCGGCTCACCGCAACCTCCGTCTCCTGGGTTCAAGCAATTCTTCTGCCTCAGCCTCCCGAGTAGCTGAGACTACAGGCATACACCACCATGCCCAGCTAATTTTTGTATTTTTAGTAGAGATGGGGTTTCACCATGTTGACCAGGATGGTCTCGATCTCTTGACCTCGTAATCCACCCGCCTCGGCTTCCCAAAGTGCTGGGATTACAGGCTTGAGCCACCACGCCCGGCAATTTTTTTTTTTTTTTTTTGAGGCAGAGTCTCGCTCTGTTGCCCAGGCTAGAGTGCAGTGGCATGATCTCAGCTCACTGCAACCTCTGCTTCCTGAGTTAAAGCTATTCTCCTGTCTCAGCCTCCCCAGTAGCTGGGACTGCAGGTGTGTGCCACCACACCCAGCTAATTTTTGTATTCTTAGTAGAGATGGGGTATCACCATGTTGGCCAGGATGGTCTTGATCTCTTGACCTTGTAATCTGCCTGCCTCAGCCTCCCTAAAGTGCTGGGATTACAGGCGTGAGCCACTGCGCTTGGTGATTTTAATTTTTTTACTAAAAAAAAAATCTCAAGTTCTTAAATAATATATAGGTTATATATATATTATTAGATATGTGTTATATATAATAATATATGTATATAATATAATATATAATATATATTATTATGTCTATTATATATAACCTATATATTAATGTATATTATATATATATTGTATACAATAAAAAATATATAGGTTAGCCCATTCATTTTGAAGATAAGGAATCTGAGTCCCATAGTTGACATGATACTGGCAAAGGTGAAATTAATACCTAAATCTCTTCTAGTCCATTTTTTTCTTTCATTATTGTATGCCTTTTTCTCATTTGGGCCTGTGAAATGTACTGAACAGTCACCATATGTTGAATTAAATGTGTGCTATGAAGGGACACAATGAAATGAAAAGACATGGTGACTTTATCCCATGAAGCAAATCCCAGTAGGGAATGGTATTACTGTTTTTGCATTTTATGAAAGGGTTTATTAAGTAATGGAATTCTTTGAATTTGAAGGAAATTATTATCATGCGATACTTGGGTATTATTTTTCTCTTCTTAAATATTTTCTATGTCTCTTAGTTTCTTATCTAGAGAATTCAGAAAGTTGACTTTAGAACTAAAACATAAGTATTATCCAAAGGTAATAAGACAAGGCTTTTAATCATTTTTTAGAATGATTGTCAAGTTTGAAGTTTTTTTTTGAAGTTATAATCTTATATAGTATAACTATATAGTGTAAGGTTATAGTTATACGTTATGAGAAAAGTTGATAGGAAAAATATGCTTTTGGCATTTATACATATGTATTTATATTCTATAATACACTCAGAAGTGAGGTGGGTAAGCATTCTTGTTTGACCTTTGATGTCTCTGTCACCCTCTGCTTGGGGTGGTTAATAGTGCCCAGTTTCACTATGAATGAATGCCTGTGATGTGTTGGGACATTGTTCAGGGAACTTGGGATATTCCAGTAAGTATATCAAAGATCTTTACCTTTGTGAAGCTTACATTTTAATTTGGTTGGCCAGAACTTTTTCATTCCGAAATCTTTTCTCTACTTCATGTACTTCTCAGTTTGATGGTAACATAAAGCTTTCCTTTTGTTCTTTTATTTATATCCATGGTAATGATGATTGCCTACTGGAACTTAGTGCCAGCTCTGTCAGGTTTATAAAACTGGACGTTTTTTCTTTTAATGGGGCCAGGATTGTGAGTGGATGTGGTTCATAAGAAGCAGCATTTATAGACAGGGTCTCACAGAAGAGTATTGAATCTAAACTGAGCTCTGTTTAGCTCCTTAATGGTGGTTTAGTCACAGCTTACAGCTATGAGTAAAAAAGGTGATAATTTCTGAAAGGGCTAGTTTATTTTACGTGATTAAATACAGGTGGGAGTAAGGAGGCGCATGCTCTTACATTCTTCCCCAAAGAGGAAACTTTCCACATTACATATTTATTATCTACTTTAAAACCATAGTTCTGTTACGTGAATACTTTTATGCTTTTGCTTTTTTTCTTCTTCGCAGTATTCCTCTTAAACATATGGTCATTTCTGTATCCATGGAGTCTGCACCTGTGGATTCAAGCAATCGCAGATCAAAAATATTTGAGTAAAAAAAGAGAGATTAGTTGTGTCTGTAGTGAACATGTACAGACATATTTTTTCTTGTCATTATTCCCTAAATAACACAGTACAACAACTATTTACATGGCATTGACATTGCATTTGGTATTACACATAATCTGGAGATGATTTAAAACACATGGGAAGATGTGTGTAGGTTATATGCAAATGCTATACCATTTTATATAAGGAACTTGAGTGTCTGTGGAGTTTGGTATCATAGGGACTCCTGGAGTTAACCTCTCATGGATATCAAAGAATGACTGTACTTATATTTATTCTTTAATTTTGACATAAACTTGTGGTTGAATTATGGGAAATTTTTGTAAATTGGAATTAACATGTAAAAAGAATAATTCCAACTATGCAATTACACCTTTTTCCCAGTTGATGTTATTTTAAAAAATCTCCTTTTAAATAGGCATTCTACTGGAGATACCAAAGTTCCCTTCTGTCTGCAGTCCTGTGTAAAACCTTTGAAATATGCCATTGCTGTTAATGATCTTGGAACTGAGTATGTGCATCGATATGTTGGAAAAGAGCCGAGTGGACTAAGATTCAACAAACTATTTTTGAATGAAGATGGTAAGAATTACATAAACATTGGTTGAAAAAATATCTCATTTTCCTATGTAAATCTAAATCATTTTAAGCATTTTTTGATTAAAATTAAGTGTTTATTATGTGATTTCTATGCAATCCATAGAGAGAACTTCATCACCTACTTTTAAAAATGGTTATTTTATGCATTGTATACCACTGGGAAGTGGGCTAGGGAGAATGTGAACTTTCCTGGGATTACAGGCGTGTGCCACCACATCTGGCTAATTTTGTATTTTTAGTAGAGACGGGTTTTTTCCATGTTGGTCTGGCTGGTCTCGAACTTCCAACCTCAGGTGATCCAACCGCCTCGGACTCCCATAGTGCTGGGATTGTGAACCACCGTGCCTGGCCCCTGAGGATTTTTATTTTTTAGTGAGTGTTTTTACTTTTTCTCATTATAACATTAAAAAATTTGAAAGAGCCGGGCGCGGTGGCTCAAGCCTGTAATCCCAGCACTTTGGGAGGCCAAGGCGGGTGGATCACGAGGTCGAGAGATCGAGACCATCCTGGTCAACATGGTGAAACCCCGTCTCTACTAGAAATACAAAAAATTAGCTGGGCATGGTGGCACGTGCCTGTAATCCCAGCTACTCAGGAGGCTGAGGCAGGAGAATTGCCTGAACCCAGGAGGCGGAGGTTGCGGTGAGCCGAGATCACGCCATTGCACTCCAGCCTGGGTAACAAGAGCGAAACTCCGTCTCAAAAAAATTTAAAAAAAAGGCCGGGCACGGTGGCTCAAGCCTGTAATCCCAGCACTTTGGGAGGCTGAGGCGGGTGGATCACGAGGTCGAGAGATCGAGACCATCCTGGTCAACATGGTGAAACCGCGTCTCTACTAAAAATACAAAAAACTAGCTGGGCGTGGTGGCGCATGCCTGTAATCCCAGCTACTCAGGAGGCTGAGGCAGGAGAATTGCCTGAGCCCAGGAGGCGGAGGTTGCGGTGAGCCGAGATCGCGCCATTGCACTCCAGCCTGGGTAACAAGCGCAAAACTCTGTCTCAAAAAAAAAAAAAATTAAAAAAAAAAAAAATTTGAAAGAAACGCATTGTGTTTTATGCTTGGATAGTAAGTCATTACAGGAACTCAAAAGAAAAGGGAAGGACAAAAGTAGTTAGTTTAATATGATAGAGATTTTAAGTCTAAACAGCATTTAGCTGAGTGCAAACTAGGCTAAACTGTTCCTATGGTTTGGTTTCTGTTTTTTGATCTTTTAAGCATCTGCTGTGTTTCTGATTGATGAGTTAAGATACAGAATTGAAGAGTGAAAGTGAAGGTTGTAGTAAGGGCTGTGAGAGATACACTTTTATACCTTTTTTTCTTTCTACTGTATAAAAAAATGAAATGTGCCTTATACTCATTATTGTCGTATTAGTTTGTAAGATAAAGTCATAAGACTGGTATTTTCTTATGCTTCTCATTCTATTTATTTTGAAAACAATTATATTTTCTTTCCTATTTTACCATAACCTTTTTATTCTGATGCTATATTTGCTTTTATAGATATTACCATAAATTAACAACTTCGATAATGACATCATGTGTTGAAGCACTCTATTTACTAAGCTCATTGACATCTAGATTTAATATTGAAAGAATTAATACTGTTATTCTAAAAATAATCAAATATTTTAAAAGAAAAATTTAATACTTTTCCATGGAAAGCAAAGGAGAATAGATGTGTCTAGTAAATTGACTGATTTTGAGAGAGATATTTAAAGAAAAGAAAACAAATATAGTAATTTATAGAAGATTTCAGAAACAAAAAAATGAAATGGACTTGGAGCAAATGAACTTAACAGTGTAAGTAATGAATTTTTGCCATGGACATTTACGGTTTTAGAAATCATGAATTATTGATACTGTATTCTACATAAGAAAAAACAGGAAATCAGGAGTTTAGAATTGCTTATAATAAGAATGAAATATGGAGTTTAACAAGAGGTTTTGCCTTCATATTTTAGACATTTTTCTAAGCCTGAGCCAACACCACGAGTCTTGAAAGTAATGGTAAATAAAGGCTTTACTGTATTACACCTTCCTGAGTTCTGATTAGAGTCTGAGCTCTTGAGCCCAGTTTAGTTTAGCCCCAGCAAAAACAATTTGAGTATCTTCTTCATATTTAAAATTGCAAGGGTAGATTTTTGGTGAAACCATATAATTTTTTGGTGTGTATGTATATATGTACATCTAGAATTATAAAATTTAAAAATATATCAGTGTTATGCTAGCTTTATAAGATTGTGATGATTTATTAAGACTAATATGGAAAGAGTGACTAGATAGAGAAATTGTAGTAGTTTTTAATAACAGCGGTTTAAAAATGTTTGCAGCATAGAAAGTATTGGTCCTGTGGTAGGAGGTGGCTGATATTTTTTGTCATATAAAGTGAGCAAACAAGTTACTTTATGGAGATGTCAGTTTTGCCAACTATCATCTCCCAGGGAAGTCTTCTTTTTCTACCTTGTAGTGATCAGTTTAACCAACAAATTATTTATATAGCTTTCCTTGTCTGTACTGTTAACAGCTCTGGAGGGTACATGGGCCTTGGTTCTTGGAATAACTTTTCTGACTGCAGGTTACAGAAGACAATTTAGCAAAAGTTTGACTCGGCCTTTCCTGTGAACAAAACCCTTGTAAGGTTTATATGCTAAGCAGCTTGAAAGCTTTTTTTGATATAATATGAAAGAAGGCTGTGTATTTTATTGCCTTTGGGGGAAATAAATACTTGTTAAAATTGATCAGTTTTTTGCATTATAGTTTAAAATATGTCCATAAATTTCAGATGTCACCCATGTCCATTTTGTCAGTACATGCTCTGATTTGTCATTACATGCTCTGATTTGTCATTACTTCAAATGTTAGCCTTTATTAGTATTTTGTATGTTATTTCTGCCATTCACAGATATTTTTAAATTAAAAATTCTAAACCCATCAACTCTGTCTTGTGACAACAGGAAAAAAGAAAATTTCACAGTCATAGGTCTTAGATCAAGGTTTTATACTGCAGTTAGGCTGGTGTTGTGTTACATTCTCTCTGGCGGATTTCCAGATGTTCAGATGTCTGGATTTTGAGCTAGAGGCAGAGTGAGGAATTACACTCTTCTGAAAATTGGGCTGTCATGCCGTGAAATGATTTAGTGTTCTTTAAGACATCTTGAGTATAGTTTATGTAGCATTTACAGAGTATGTATCATTTGGAAAATATTTAATACTCACATTTTTGTGATACCATTTGGAATACGTACATTAGCAGCCTTCTAGGACTGTAGATTCTAAGCCTGATGATGTCAAAACTCTGCAATGGCAGTTAATGAACATCCATACAAATATAGGTATAAAGTAATTTAGCACAATCTGATTTCTGAATTCTGCTTTCTCTCTGCATAGGCTTTTCTTTCAGGTGGATAATATTTGGAAAATTTTTAGGTTTTGGCTCCCTCTTGCCACATAGTATTCTTCTGAGACAGCAAGTGTTCTCATTTTGTGTGGTCTCAGAGAAACCAAACTTCTCTTAGTATAATTTGGAGTAGGCAAATCTTCATTGTAATAATCAGATATAAAACAAATATTTGAACTTTTAGAACTAGGCATTATGAATAACCCAAAATGTATAATTATTTATTTATTTATTTTTAATTGACAGATAATTGTGTACAACATAGTGTACAACATATGGTGTACAACAGTGATTTGAAATATATATTCATTGTGGAATGGCTAAATCAAAGTAATACATTACTTCATATTTATTTATAATGAGAAAACTTAAAGTATGCTTTCTTAACAATTTTCAAGTACATATAATACTTGTTATTAACCATATCATGTTATAAAATAGATCTCTTGAACTTATTCCTCCTATCTAACTGAAATTATGAATCCTTTGACCAACATCTGGCAATCCCTTCTTTCCCCTCCCCCATTTCTGGTAACCGCCAGGTAGATAAATTAAAAGTTTGCTTGTAAATAGATGTTTCACTCTCCCCAAGAGTTTCAAGAGTTTTGTTTTTAGTGTTTGTGTTGTGTAGTGAATGAGAATATAATCAGTTGAGTTTTGAAATTTTTTTTTTTTTTTTTTTTTTTTTTTTGAGATGGAGTTTCGCTCTTGTTACCCAGGCTGGAGTGCAATGGTGCGATCTCGGCTCACCGCAACCTCCGCCTCCTGGGTTCAGGCAATTCTCCTGCCTCAGCTTCCTGAGTAGCTGGGATTACAGGCACGAGCCACCATGCCCAGCTGATTTTTTGTATTTTTAGTAGAGACGGGGTTTCACCATGTTGACCTGGATGGTCTCGATCTCTTGACCTTGTGATCCACCCGCCTCGGCCTCCCAAAGTGCTGGGATTACAGGCTTGAGCCACCGTGCCCGGCTGAAATTCTTATTTATTGTAAGAATTAAGGAGTTTGGATGAATGTAAAATTTTAAGTAACTTTAAAATTATATAAGGATACACCTTTACTGTGAGGAAATACAAAAATCCTAAAAATATCCCTTATAAAACATTAGCCAGGTGTGGTATGTGCCTGTGGTCCCAGCTTCTTGGGAGTCGGAGGCCAGAGGATTACTTGAGCTTGAGAGGTCAAGGCTGCAGTGAGCCATGATTTTGCCACAGCACTTCAGCATGGGTGACAGTGCAAAACTCTGTCTCTTTAAAAAAAAAAAAAAAAAAAAAAAAAAACTCTTATAATTTTATTCTATGTAAAACACTTGTTTGTGTTTTGAAATCCTTCTGTGTAAGTGCTTGTATATAAAGATAAAAATAAAGCACTTAGAAAAAAGCAAAATTGAGTTTACGTTAGCTGTGCTTTTTTCCAAGGTTATTTTAATGTAGTAATATTAGTCAAGCGTTTAAGTATTTGAAATAATGGTATTGCTTTTATATTTTTCAGATAAACCACATAATCCTATGGTAAATGCTGGAGCAATTGTTGTGACTTCATTAATAAAGGTAAAATGTTGATGTTTCATTTTAGCCTAGTAAACTTTTTTTTTTTAATAGCTAAGGCATAAAGATGAATCTGGGATTATTTATGTAGAATTATGAAAAATTTTCTCTTGGTGTTCAAAAATTTGTCTTATGGTGTAGAGTTAGAATCTATATTTCAAAATAAATGATGTAGTCATTTCAAGGCCAAAATTAAAAACAGATGACTCACTGTAAATTCCAACAGTTATTTACTCTTGACTTGAAGATCTGGAAAATAATTAAAGTCTGCTGAAGAAAGGCATAGAGGCTTTTCTTTTTAAAGTTTTGATATTTTCCTTTCTTTTCCTTTTGGCTCTTCTAGAATGAACAGTTATAAATAGAATTAAAGGCATTTTACTGTATATTTGTTATTGTATATGTAGGAACAAATGATCTAGAATGTGTTTAAGACAAAGTACATTTACCCTCGAATATTCTCATGTCTTTGATGCTCTGATGAGCTGTTCAATTTTTATTTGAACTTGTTTCATATGTTTTACTTAAATCATGCCATAATTAAAATAATTAAATAAGGCTCATTCCAATTATTAAGTTATATTTTCTTATGCTTTGACGTTTGCATTGTAAGGAGTTTTTTTGTTTTTTTTTTTTTAATTGTTTGTTTTGCCTTAATAATTGGAAGATCTAGTGTTTTGGCATAAGTATTTGAAAATGGTTCTCTTGTAATAGATTTTTAAATCTATCACACGATTTTAGATTTCTCAGATTTTTTAATTTCTAATTATAAATTTTATTTATTTAAATAAATTTTGTGTTTGGAAACATTTATATACTTCTTTGATAAATCTGTGCCTGTTTATTCTAAGCTAAAGTAAAGCATAACTACATGGCTTTGTAAATACATTACTGTGGATGAGGTACCCTGGTTACATGAAGGATGTTTGAGTGTAAATGATACCCATGCCCCAGTTCACAAAACTGCATCTAATTTGTATACTATAAATCCTTTCTCAACTTTCAAGGGTTTTATATCTATGAGAAAAAGATTTTTTAATTATTATTATTTTTGAGACAGAATCTCGTTCTGTCGCCCAGGCTGGAGTGCAGTGGTACAATCTCGACTCACTGCAGCCTGTACGAGTAGCCAGGTTCAAGCAGTTCTCTGTCACAGCATCTTGGGTAGCTGGGATAATAGGTACCTGCCACCACACCCAGATAATTTTTTGTATTTTTAGTAGAGATGGGGTTTCATCATCTTGGCCAGGCTGGTCTTGAACTCCTGAGCTTGTGATCTACCCGCCTCAGCCTCCCAAAGTGCTGGGATTATAGATGTGAGCCACCACTCCCAGGCGAAAAAGCTTTTTAATAGAAGGCTAGTTTCTTAAGAATCTATATGTTTACTTTGGCCCATTTAATTCTTATAACTCTAATGAAGTAGATGTTATAGCCAAGTGTTTTTAAAATGTAACTAATTGTAATAGGCTGTGGAGAAAATTGTCAGTTTGAGGTGAAAGAAACTTGAAAAATGTGATTATTTGCAAGGCATACAGTCCTGCCTTTAGATAGCTTACTTTGTAGTATGAGAAATGGGTCCTTATGATAAAATTCAGTAAATACTGTGATGAGAGAAAAGCTTCATTAATAATTGCTCAGATTTGAACAAGTAACTTAAAATTAGAAATAAGGAAAGTTACTGTAATGTATATGTTAATGCTTGATGAGACAAACACCAAAATTGTTTCTTCCCAGAAAAATATCCACATACCATAATTTTACATAAATTTCCAGACCCTTCAAGGCTGATCCATGGATCCCAGTTTAAGAATTCTTAAACTGGAGAGAGATCAACATGGTACACTAAGCATAGTTTCAAAAAAGGGCTTACATAAATAATTAACAGAAGACTTCCTTAACTGCACACAGTTAAAAATCTTTCATTAAATGATTCATGGGCTTAACAGACTACACTGAAATGCTGCATGTGGGAATTGCATGTCTGGTCATATCACACCATCATTTATTAGTTTCACTTGCCATGTTTAGTCATGAGTCATAAACTATACATTGAGCTATGTTTTAGTGAACAGAAATGAGTGAATAGAAACAGTTAAAACATAAACACAACATATGTAGAGTTCAACAGTGTAAAAATTTGAGTCATCTTGGACCTACAAATTTGATCACTGAGTTTTGTAAAAACTTAACTGGTAAACTTGGAAATGAGGCTTTAGGGTATGGTTTATATTTAAGGTCACTTTCTCCTGAGTTTTTGTTTTTTAGCATGTGTTTCACAAGTGCTTTTTATTTTTTTAATGAAGTTCGTACAAATCTTGGAGAAGAAAGCCTGTAATAACCCTATGTAAAATTGAAGGCTCCAGAATATGTAATATGTTTCTTAGGATCTTTTAAGGAAAGAATCAATTCATATGTGTGATCTCTGCAAATTGTATGATGACATAATATTTATAAATTGGTATTGGTTTGAAATTTAGGTAATAAAACCATAGCCAAAAGGGCTTAAACATTGTCAAGCTCTCTTATTTTATATAGATGGGGAAACTGAGAGCCTGGCAAAGTTATTAACAGCAGTAGAATTGGGCATTAGCGAAATCTCCTGATACTCTGCTGTTCATTACAATTCACGCTGCCATTTTAATGTAGGTGTTTGCCATTTCTCTTGATGACATCTTTAACTTTAATTGGCATAGTTATATTGCCCAAAATGCAGAAGTACTATTTTCTTAATTTGAACTGGTTCAAACGATGATAATTAATTGGTTTAAAAGTTATATCTCATTTGGTACCAAATGTCTGTAGTCATTCTTTGGACATTAGTCAGTAAAGAAACAGGCCCTTTTCCAAGGTGCTTGCATCTGAGTACCCAAAGCTACGGATATTTCACCAGGGCTAGTAGAGGTGAATTCTGTTTTTTAGCTCTTTTAATTGATGACCTTAAGGCTATTTGTGATTTTTTTTTTCTTTAAAATTCAGGAATTTATCATGGTGCCATTAAAATCATTTCTTCATGTTACTCCCCTCACCCCAAAATTAAGTAGAGTCTTTAGTAAGACTCTTGATTTCATAATTTTGTAGTGTTGATATTTTTTCCTTGTAGGATTGGTGGTGATCCTCAGGAAATGGGGGAAGAGGCAGAGCAAATGTTCAAAAGGATTAGCAGATTGTGGAAAAAAGGAGGATTTGGACAGAAGGAGCCTGTTGCATAAATTCTTAACTACTAAGCTTATAGGAAAACTCCAATATTTAAAAATTTAAACAAAGCTATATAGGTAAATACCTTTTTAAAAACAAATGTCATTTTATACTTAAAATGCACATAATTTAAAAAAAACATAAGGATACTATACTTCCTCTCTTTTTCTCTGTGGTAGCTACTAACTTTACATGAATACTTTCTGTTATAATCTGTTTTATTTGGGATGGTGATAAGGTGTGATTGCTTGATTGAAAGGAAAGAATAAAAATAAATTTGAAAGGAACAGTTATTTTTATATGACATAGGAGTATACTTAATATACTTTTCTTTTCAGTGGCAAAAATTTCACCGAGTTTTAGTTTAAAAGTTAAGATCTGGTGATAACTTAAGGATTAAGGTAGGAAAATGAGGACAACATACTGCAAAATAATTGCCACATTTAATGCTTTTTCATGTCAGAAATAGAAGTTTCGCTGTCTTATGTGTTTTTATCTCTCAGTTTTGTTTTTGTTTTTTAGAGACAAAGTTTCTGTTGCCCAGTCTAAGTGAAGTGGTATAGTCAAAGCCCACTGCACCCTCAAACTCCTGTGCTCAAATGATCCTGCCACCTCAGGCTCCAGAGTAGCTGGGACCACAGGCACATGCCACCATGCAGGGCTAACTTTTTGTAAAGATAGGGTCTTGTCATGTTACCCAGGCTGGTCCCCACCTCCTGGCCTAAAGTGATCCTCCCAGTTTGGCCTCCCAAAACACTGGGTTAACAGGCATGAGCCACTCTACTTGGCATGCCTCATTCTAGTGGTAGTTTCCAGTTTTTGTCATTTAAAGAAGCTCTATTTTTTCTTTAGTCAAAAGTATTCTTGAATTGTATAAACTAGGGTTTTTTTTCCTCTTTAAACAATTTAAGCATACTCATTGAAAATCAAGACAAGCTTAGTTAATGTATATGCAGTGTTCAATTTGGTTGTGTTAGCAATAAACTGCTAGGTTTGCTTATACGGCAAGTTTTTTAAGTGGTTCGTGACTCTGAGAGTAATGAATGATGTCCTGGACTGGCAGCATTCAGAAGACAGGATTGGCCGGGCGCGGTGGCTCACGCCTATAGTCCCAGCACTTTGGGAGGCCGAGGCAGGTGAATCACGAGGTCAAGAGATTAAGACCATCTTGGTCAACAAGGTGAAACCCCGTCTCTACTAAAAATACAAAAATTAGCCGGGCGTGGTGGTGCACGCCTGTAGTCCCAGCTACTTGGGAGGCTGAGGCAGGAGAATTGCTTGAACCCAGGAGGCGGAGGTTGTGGTGAGCCGAGATTGTGCCATTGCACTCCAGCCTGGGTAACAACAGCGAAACTCCGTCTCAAAAAAAAAAAAAAAGAAGACAAGATTATGTTGGTTTATTTACTGCATGTTTATATCAGTTTATGCTTTCCTTTTTTTTTTTTTTAATGAAAGGTAGAGCATTTATTGCCAACTGAAAATTGTTATTTTCTTTTTAGGGTTAATCTGTGAAAATACTAGATCTAGAACAACATTTTTTTTTTACCCTGAGTGTCTTATTTTTTATTTACCTAATACTCTTTGGCTTTAAAGCATTTTCTATCATAAAACTAAATTAAGACTATTTCATAAAATCATTTTTAGTTACCTCTTTTTGCATTTTTCCTCTAGGGTCTTTAATTTTTTAATTGGCTTGCACTTCCATATTTTATGAATGGAATCAAGTGAGATACTTCTAAAATAACTCTGATTAATGCATTGACTTTAAGTGAGCCATTTTAGTATTAATTTTATTGGCAGATATCCTTTTT